AATAAACATAAAAACTGTAATAAACATAAAAACTGTAATAAACATAAAAACTGTAATAAACATAAAAACTGTAAAAGATTGAATCAACTGTTTAAGGAAGAAGCAGGAGTTGTCATGGCGACAGCATCACTCACACATCCAACATGTGACAAAAAGCCGCCACCTCCTCGTCTCTCTCCTCTGACACCTGGAACAGCTCGTATCCAAACCCACTGGTCCTGGAGCTCAGCGACACCTGTCAATCACACACAGCCAGCCAATCAGAGCAAAGCTTATCTGGACCAATCAGAATACCTGGTTTTAAGAAGCAAAATCAGCTGAGTTGTGTTTCAGGTTACATCAGATAAACAAACTATTCTGTCTTTGTACAAATAATAAACATTTCATTGACCTGATCACTGACCCGATCACTGACCTGATCACTGACCTGATCACTGACCTGATCATTGACCTGATCACTGACCTGATCACTGACCTGATCATTGACCTGATCACTGACCTGATCACTGACCTGATCATTGACCTGATCACTGACCTGATCACTGACCTGATCATTGACCTGATCACTGACCTGATCACTGACCTGATCATTGACCTGATCACTGACCTGATCACTGACCTGATCACTAACCCAATCACTGACTCGATCATTGACCCAAACACTGACTCGATCACTGACTCGATCATTGACCCAAACACTGACCTGATCACTGACTCGATCATTGAACCAAAGGTTCTCAAGCTCCGTTCAGACAGAACTCTGTTTACTGAACCAGTGGCTGCTGAGGTCATTACGCTCTAGCACGATGCTGTGTTCAGGTCAAGCATGGAAAATCCCCCACTCTTAGACCAATACGGTCGCAATGATGCATTTAGGTACCGAAACATGGTACCGTTTGATGTTACGTGAATAGTATCTTGGTAGTACTGACAGAATTCAGTCGGTACTTATAAAAGTATCAAATTCGGTACCCATCCCTACATTCACTCGATCACTGCCCTGATCACTGACCCTGGAAACTGACTCGATCGTTGGCATGAACACTAACCCCGTTAACTTACCCAATTGTTGACCCGATCACTGTCACAACCACTGACCCTGATAAATGACGCAATCACTGAACCTGTTAACTGACCTGATTACTGACCCAATCATTAACCCGTTCACTGACCCCTGTAACTGACCTGAACTCTGACCCTCTTGTTGACCCCATCACTAAACAGATCAGTGGCCTGATCCTTGACCAGATTGTTGAACCAATCACTGACCCTATCAGTGACATGGTCAAGACCAATAATGCTCAACAGTTTCTTTAGTACTAAAATAAATCCATCTAAAAAAAAAACTGTTCTGGTCCTGCAGGTCCCAGACCTTCTGCACCTGGTCCTATAGGACTCCCAGTTTCTTCCTTTAAATTTGCAGGTAATAAAACTGATCAGTCATGAATATGAAAAGCCACCTACCGGTCCAGCAGAAACCCGCCTCTGGTTTTTGTTGGTCTTCACAGCAGATGTGTAGGTCCTGGGAGGCAGCTGAGGAGGGAGAGTCTTACTCCGAGTCACAGGCTTCCCTGATTGGTCCTCATTATTGCGTAGAGCTCTTGGCGGCGGTCTGATGTCGTTGAGTCGGACCAGAGAGTAGTTTATGGTGTCGTAGTTCAGTTCTGCTGAGGTCACTTTGTGCTGGTCCACATCAGGGTTGAACAGGTTTACGTCTCGGGGCTCTGTGGACTGTCGAGGGACTAAGAAGGGGTTCTCTGACCCTGGGGGTGGGGGGATAGGCTGTCTGGGTGGGATGGCAGGGGGAACATCATCTGGAATGGTCAGAAGGCCTTTGGAGAGAAACCCTGAACCAAGTCCAGAAGAGTCTTCAGGGTTGGAACCAGAAAGGTCTCTGAATTTAGTCAACTCCAGACTGTCTAGGATGTAGGGGGACTCTTTGTGGCTCACCAGGGGAGGAGTTGGCCTAGGTGGTAGTGGGAGAGGACACTGGGATCCCCCAGGCTGGTTTAGGGAGAAATCTGACACAGAGAGCCCGGTCAGCAGGTTCTCGCCTTCGAGGTCCGGGTCGTGGAGGCCTGGCCGAGGCTGGTCCACAGACGAATTCAGGGTCTTGGAGCGGATCTGGCTTGGAGGACAAAGTTCGGTTTGGTTGGTTTCAGTCCCATTTTTGTCCTGTTTGAGTCGGGAGAGCGCATCATACTCCATCTGCAGAGCCTCAGCCAGAACCAGCTCCTTCTGACTGAGACCCAGAGACTCCAGACACCCCCATCCCGCCTCGCCGCCCTCCTTCTGAGTCTGAGTGGCCGACATGGTCTAAAACCAGAAAACAGAGTCCAAGTCACCTGAAGTTCCTCCAGTTTATGACTGAAAGACCTGAATATTGTGAAAAGTTGAACTGTTTGCAGACGATGCTCTGATTTCTGAAGAGAAACTCTGGAGTTTTATTAGGATTATTCATCACAGCACAAAGTTCTGTTTACCGTTTCTGTAGTTTGTTTACAGTTTCTGTAGTTTGTTTACAGTTTCTGTAGTTTGTTTACTGTTTCTATAGTTTGTTTACTGT